GCTTTGGAAACGGCCAGGCTTGCCGCAATAGGAAACCCAAGAGGGGCCCCTCCCGAAAAGGAAAGTAAGGACGGCCTGCATGGACCAGTGGACGTGCTAGCCTCTCGGTGCGGCTCGGCCTGGACCACCTTGAAGTCCGCGATGCCCGTTTACTGTACCACACCTGGCCAGCCTCCGGTGGGAACGGTTGGCACTTTGCACTCCCTACCCTGCTGGAGGCCGTTTTGGAAAAGGACCGCCGGTTTCGGGCGGAGAGTTTCCAACCCCCAGCCATGTAGAAACACGGCCAACAGTGTTTCCAGAATGCCAGTGGGGTCTGAAACCGACATTCGCATACCCCAAAAACAATTCCTGGCATCCCAGTGGGGTCCAAAATCGGCCTTCCATGCCAAAACTCTTCGAGCCGCCGGCCTCTCCAGAAGGCCTGAGAGGTGGACCCCACTGCTTTTGCGGCAAAGCTTTGGAAGACGTTTTGTGAAGAAGCATCCGCTGGTGCCAAACAGATGGGAAGGTCCCGATCGGGACGCGGTGGGGGACACCATCAAGTACCTTGTGTCCGCCATCGCCGAAGAGTTCGCGAACCGCATGGACGAAACGCCTTGGTACAACACCATCTTCGACCCCCCTTTGGAGGGCAGGGGGTACTTTCACGGGCTGATGGATATATGGGGACCTGAGGATGACCTTCGTGTCCGTAAATGGTGATCACCACGGACGTTAAATGCCGGTGATGTGTGACGATGTGAGTGTGGTGGCGAAATTCGATCGCTGGTTTTTTTTCGCTGTCGTTGGGGTCGTTCCGTATGTTACGGTTCCGGCATATGTTAAACAAGCGCTGTTTCGCCATAGTGTTTGGGAGAGAAGGTTCGAGGTACAATGAGTGTAGAGTGCCAAAGCAGGTCAATCCTTCCTTTTAAGGAAGCAATCAATGCCTGTTTCGATATTGTGGCCCAGCAAACGGGCAGACAGTCGATTTCGTCGTTCCGTCTATTACAATTTTGAATTCCGTTGGGGATGACATGTGTCTTTTTTTTGGGGACGTGTCATGTAAGTAGTGGGATCCATCGGGCGAGTCCGTAGCGGAATGAACCGCCGATGATGATGTCGGCGGTGGTTAGGACGTGGATGATGATGGTGTCGACGAAGATGATGAGTTATATGACGGCGGCGATGATGATGATGATGATGATGATGATGATACTTCGTCATCACCATCATCATCGCCGCCGTCATCGAACTCGTCTTCATCATCTTCGTCGACACCATCATCATCCACGTCCTAACCACCGCCGACATCATCATTGGCGGTTCATTCCGGTATGCAGTCCATGGACAGCGTCCGTGCAGAGTTTGCATCGCATTCGGGACAGTGACATGCAAGTTGTCGCCGATGTCAATTGCAGTGATGGAGGTTATGTTAATGAATGTTGCACGTGTGCCACTTTTTTGAATGCGGTCCTTTAAATGGATTTGAATTTTGAATCTTGTCTCTCATCTCCTTATGGGTATATGTCGTCCATTTCATTTCTTTTTCTCTTCTTGAGCGATCCTTGTGTCACACCATTTGACAGGGGGGTCTTGAAGGTGGAATTGAATTTCTCTTTTTGTGCGATCCTTGTGCCAGTTTTGTGCATGGGTGTACACACAAACACATATTATATGTTTTCATTCTTGTATACGTCTATATGTTTAAATATAGATTTATATATATTTATATTGAGAGAGAGAGAGAGAATGCACGTGAAAATGTCTTTGTCCATCACTGAAATTATGACAATCTCGCACACAACCCCGGAACCCTATGAACTACCAATCTGACCCGACCCCGGACCCACTGCTGCTGCCACTCCCTGCCGCTATCCCAAAATCCAACGCGCTATGTTATCCACGTTGTCAACTATCGCCATGGATATGGCGGCGGCGCACCATGAACCGCCACGTGGTGGTCCACATGCTGGATCAGACTCCTGCAAACCAGCGCCCCTAGCGCGGAGCCGTATGTAGGGTCATCGTCCACCATGGGCTCGACGTTGAGGTCGGGCATGTGACGAACGAAACGATGACGATCTCTCCGCCGCCGACGGTGTCTGAGATGACCGCCATCACCATTGCTGTCGCTGCTACTATCGAGCACACCGGGGTCAAAATCCACCCTGTGCTCGATCATCAGGTTGTAGAGGATGCAGATTGCCATCACTTCCTTACAAATGGTTTTCATGTTGCTGATGTGCGGTCGGATGAAATTCCTCCACACGGCCTTTAGTCGGCCGAAGCAGTGCTCGATGCAAGATCGCACCGCTGAGTGACAGTTGTCGTAGGTTCGTTCTTGAGTTGTTGTAGTCGTCCTCCCGATAGGTGTCATGATCCATGGCAGGAGAGGGTAACCTTGATCACCAAGCACATACCGCCCCACGTGTCTGTCGTCGTGCAAGTGAGCACCTCCCTCGCTGAAGACACCTGCCCCTTGCGAGGCCTCACGGAACAGTTCCAAAATGCGCAAAACTCTTGAGTCATGCACAGACCCTGCGCACCCCACGTAAACGCTAGTGATTCTGCACTCGTGGTCACAAACTACTTGCGCCACGACAGAGAACTGTCCTATGTGATGGTAGTTGCAATCCCCACGCATACCCTTCGGTTTGTCGATGTACAAATGGGTGCAATCAATTGCCCCGATGCAACCGGCGAACCCTTCCGCCTCGAGAGCGTTCTCCACTTCCTGCATTCGAGGGTCAGTCGGCCACCGAAGGAGATGGCCATACTCGCTGATGATAGCATTTGCGACCTCGTCATTGCAACACAAGGCACTCGCAAGCCCCATGCCCATGCCATGCGAGGTCTGCCGGTAATACCCGCCGGTCGCCCACCTAATGAGAGCCATAGCGAACTTCTGACCAACAGGAATAGGATTCCGGAAGTTCGTGGGGGCTCGCTGGATATGGGGTGCAATTCTACCCAGCACTTCGAAGAATAGCGGGCGAGGCAGTCTGCAAAATCGGACAAACACCTTGTCGTGTTCACTCCCAACTCGCTGCAAATACCTCCACACACCCCCGCTTCGTTCCACGACCCATATCCGCCGTCGGCGCTCCATACGTCTTCCCAACTCCTCCGCCGCCAAACTGGTGAGAGCAAATCCGTGCATCACCCCGCTTGTAAGGAGCGGCAACGACGTCACCGCGTCCCCGAACAGGAATGGGGCGAATGCGACAGCTTCGAGGACGACCATGGCCGCCGCATTGCGCCTGTGCACCCACTGGGTTATGGCGAAAACCAAGAAGAAGAGCATGTCTTCCCACTCCTCTAACGAACCTGCAGATGGAACCGGACTGTCCATCTCCTCTATTACCAGCAGTTTGCAAACCACCATACGACGGGCCGGCACACGCCTCCCACACAAGCACGCCTCTCCTCCGCGGATATGGAGCGAATGGAGGCAGTTCTCGAATGCCCTCGGAAGTGCTCACATCACCACGGCGCTCTCGGCTATGCAGGTGTCACTTCCGGATAACGGACTGCATTTCATCGAAAATGAATTTGAAAACGCCGCCGGGAGCCTCCTCAATGGCTAGTTTCACACTGAGGGCACCGTATGCCAGCAGGGGACAGTGCCACACAGTTCCACGGCATGTCGGTCGCGGTGCGACCACGGCGTTCCGCAAGGACAAGTCCACTTCTGCCGCTGGTTCACGGAGCTGGACCACTTGGTTCACCACACTTTCCATTTCGGGAGGCGACCTTCCCATTTTTCCATTTCGGGAATGGAAGTCCTTTTCCAGAAGCCGGCAAGGCCGTGGCGGTGGGGCCTCAACTTTTTCTGGAAATGGTTTTCCAGACGGCGTTGGCCGTTTTTCGCGGCCAACCATTTTTTCCAACCCCCGAGCAGTGGGGTCCAAGCCTCCGTTTGGCTTTGCCCGTTCCTTGCGGTTCGGCCATCCTGAGGGGGAAGGGGGGGGTCATAGCATGTGGAATGGAGAGCCAGGGATTGGACGAGCACAAAGACAAGTCGATGTGAAGTTTCCATATAGGTCACCGCCTCTCTCTCTCTCTCTCTCTCTCTCTCTCTCTCTCTCTCTCTCTCTCTCTCTCTCTCT